TTTGCATATTCTAAGATTTCAACTAAAACTGTATTTTTTTTTTGTTTTTAGTAAACAGCTAAGGCTTCTAAATCTTCCATCTCATATAATTTGACACAAAAATTACCAACTAGAAATACAGAGCCATTTTCATGGATTGATAGTAATGACATATTCAGTAACAGATGGTCATACGTTTAAAATTAGTGACAATTTTATTTCCAATTTATTTAGAAGTTGTGTGGTAAGAAAACGTCTTGTAATTATGAAGGTTAAAGGTACTTATGAAATTCTTGGCAGTAATAGTCCTATAGGTTGGGACAATGAAGCACATGCAGCAGAAATTGCTTCGTGAGTTGATAGAAAAAGCTAATACATATTTGGTGATAGATAATCATATGAATTTAAATTACTTCTTCATGGAACTAAGGATGATTTTACCTCCGATTTCATTTGAAGAAAATATCCTGTCGTCGTTATGAAGGTTAAAGGTACTGATGAAATTCTTGGTAGTTATAATCATATTGATTGGAACAAACTATTTTCAACAGTTATCAAATGAAGCATGTTATTTTATGGGTAATTGGAAAAGCAAATACATATCAGCACCAGATAATTCATATGAAGTTAAATTATTTCTTCATAGAACTAGAGACAATTTTACCTTCGCAAAATTTTATTTATTTTTTTTTGGGTTGTGAGAATAAGTAAATCAATTATTAGTAGCATTATAATGTACTGTATAATAAAGAATTTTAAATTAATAAACAAAATAATTTTTATTAATTTTTGGGATAATATTTAACAAAATAATCTTAGATGCTGTTTAGAATTAAATATTTAATAAAGCGTATTCTTAAATTTATCAATATAAGATTTTAGCATTTAATTAAAAATAATATAAAAATAAAGAATATATTTAATAATTCAATAAATATTTATTTATGTACAACTTTACTTTTTTTCGTTCTTGGAAAAGCTTGGAAAAGCTTGATAAAAATAGTTGTGATATACAAATTTGACTTGGCTCGAGATGCAATGCCAATATATTAAATTTTTTTTTATAAAAAGCCCTCACATCACCTTCGTTTCATTAACTAAATATTTTCAAAATCAGCAAAAAACACTGTACAATAAAAAACCACTATTAATTTATCATTAAATAAAATGGATATTAATTTCTCACAATCTTCACAAGACGAATTCCAAGAAGATTTTATAGATGTCAAGAACATAGATGATGAAACTATGACGATGATCTTATATTTAACTTAGAGCAAAGCTTATACGAGCATGCCCTAGTTTCAACAGAACTTGAGAATAATCCATGGAAAGAATTTAATATAAAAGACATACCAATATTGCAAGAAATAAGTGATGAGGAAATCGGTAGTGAATACACTGAAGAGATTTCTACGATTAGGATAAAATTGATTACACCATGCATTATAATCGATAATGACTATAGAGAAATATGATGCTGTAATAGAGAAAGTAATAAGAGGTTGCGAGAATTAATTAGTGTCTGGGAAATTAACATAGATGCTGTTAATGATGTTAACAGAGAACTTCAATTTCTTGGAGTATGTTCAAGACATTTTAACTATGACCAAAATAATGTACATAGTAAAGATTTGAAAGACCAACACTCAACTAAAAAAAGTCAAATTCATTGTCGTATCTGTTTTTTCTGCAACAAAAAAAAGATTTTCTTTAGTCGTAAACAAGTTGTATAGAACATACACAGATTGTGTATAATCAGACACTACAAATACCTTGTCATGGAATGGCTCTCTGTCCAGCTATTGATCAAAGCTTATACACAGAAAATACATCTAATTCACAGGGAGTTCGTTATATATGCTGTCAGTATTATAAAAAAAATGGTGGATATTTGCATATACGCATGGGTACAGGAGCTAAGAAAGACCCAGGATGCACTGCAATGCATTTAGATGATATTGAAACTGCTTTCTGCCACTTTGCAAAGCTAATTGAAATAGTGGCACATTCAGAGAATGAAGTAACAAAAAAGAATTTACTTCGAATTCTCATTCTGTGCTTAGAAAATTTTGATTTGGATTTATCTTTTGCACCTAGCCAACTACCTAGCTTGTTTGTAGTTAACACAATTTTTAAAATTAAAAGACTTGATTTTTCCAAACAACAATTTATACAAAAACCTAAAAAATATAAAGAATTTGGAAAGTTACTTGCCCTTGAAGTTTTGAGATTACGCACTAGCCTAGCACCTTGTAAATCAACATTAGAATATCCTGACTCCTTACAGCAGTACTATGAAATAATACCAAAATGTTTAACAAGCTTTTTTGATGGATTAGTTCTTACTTTGCAGCTTAAAAAATATGAAATTGTAAAACAAAAACAAAAAGAATGCAAAAGTGCCATAGCTGAATTCAACAAAAGTGAAGTAATAAAAAGCACTGCATTTTTGTCTTCTATAATTCTAACAATCGCATTTAGAGGTTGGAAATTTTGGCTTTCACAAGTGATTGGATCTTTTTGTGAATGGCCAAAGCTTGCATGATACTTGTGTAGTATTCTTCATGCAGCAAATGTGGTAGCATATTCAAAAGATTATGAGGTAAAGGTTCGAAAGAAACACATGTCGGAAGCAAATATGCAAGAAAAAATAAAATCAGGTTCAAATATTTGGAACTTGGTGGTAATAGACAATATCAATTTCAAAGAAAAAAAAACATTTAGAGCTGGTAATCTATATAATGACACTCGAGATATGGCTCATGCTACCTTGTGCATGGTTTTTCAGTTCGAAATGCCTAACCTCAACATAGCGCCTTTAACAACTGATATTGATTTGTGTGGAAAAAATTCGGTTGTGGAACAGTAGACAGAAAAGCTTACTTAGATCTTTAACCAATTAATTCCGGAATATTCACTAGGATTTGCTATGGATGAAATAAATGTAGCGCTCAAAGAAGCAGTGGGAAAAGGATGCAATGTTTCTCTTCCAATAGTCGTTATCTTAGAAGCTGGACCAGCGCCAAACAGTAACCTTGCAGTACATAAAACTTGTGAAATGTATATAGAAGACCTGAAATTAAATCAAGGTGACTCGTTAGATGTTGTATGTGATGAGGCCATTTTTCGCAGACTTACAGATTATTCCAATAATTAATTAAAGTTAAATTCTATCCTTGGTCAGTGGCATACAAGCAAGAATATGTGTAGTGCTTTAATTGTCACCTTTTCTGGATATGGATTATTTGGACTAGCATCTGTACTTAGTACAAAGTTTCTAGAAAAACTTCAGGATGTTGTCGATTATCATGCAACATTTTGTGTTCTTGAACTTATCTGGGCTGCAGTAGCAATTGTCATTCATAAATATATAAATAACAATTGCATAACACTAGAAGATATCAAAAATAGAAGCAACAATATTTTAAAAGTTTGGCTCCTATATTATCAGTGGGCAGGTTGGCTCAAGCTTCACAAAATTGGCATTTGAATAGGTAATTTTGAAGTTCAGCATGAACATTTGAAAGCTTTTGCGCCACTATTTCCCATCACTGGAAAAAGAAGATATGCTGAATCAGTGCCATGTTTCTTGATGACAGTAGAAACAAATCCAGTACTAAAGGCAAAACTTCAGATAGTTGGGTCTATAAATCTTATCGCAGATGAACACTTTTTCACATTTGATGAAGCACTTAAGTGCTTTGGTGTAAAATTTGTTAAACAAAATATGACTGGATGCCCAACTGATCCAGAAAACTTAAAATTAGTAATTAAGGCAGCTCAAAACGAAAGAGATCGATTGATGGCATTGCATGCAGAATATGTAACTGATACCTGTATAAGCAAATCTACATATGCAGAGGTTAACCGTAAAGACGTGTTATGGAAATTAGTAAATAAACTCTCTGAAGCAATTTTCTTTGATGAGTCCGAAAAGCACCTACTGTTTGAAATCTCTGACCAACTAACACCTAGTAGGTATAAACATATGTTTACCTGTTATAACAAAGGAGTAATTAGAATTACGAATATTGTCAAACAAGATATTTTAAAACAGGAGACACGTATTGCAAAAGGATGAGCAGAAAAGAATATAATACCTTATCTTATTGGGAGAAAAAAAGCTGCTCAAAATAAAAAAAAAAGGAGTATAAAAGATATATTATAATTATAAAAACATTTAAACAACTATTACCAATAGTATTTCAGCTACAGCATTCTTTTTAATCCAATTTCAAAAATCATGAAATTTACGATTTTGTAATGGCTTGAAATTTTTGATTTTGCTTAGCAAACTATTGAAATTTTTTTATTTAATAATGAATCTGACTCTTTGTTACATAAATAAATTATATATTAATAGAAGTTTAATTTTTATATTAACTTTAAAACAACATTCTATGAAATTTTACCTTTTTTATATGAATGCTGCCAGGAGAAAATGTAACTTTGGACCTTCAATTATATTTTGTATCAGACACAATTTATCTAATTTATTAAGAATTATGTCCGGCATAAAATATAATTGAAACCCCGAAGTACCATTTTCCCAGATCCATATTATTTTGTTAACAATTACTTCATTGACATCACATTTTACTGACAATTATTTACTGACAAGTTCATTTCACCAAAGCTCATTTCACTAACAAGTTTTTTATTATATATTGCACTAAGTTTAACTCTAATTCTAATCTGGCCCTAATGACAATAGCTAAAACTATTTTGTCTGTGTAATGAGCTTCGGTGAAATAAACTGTCAGTGAATAATTGTTGGTAAAATGTGGTGTCTATAAAGTTATTGTCTGTGTGTTGATTGGAACCGAATATATAGTACAATTGTTGTACATTAGTTACTTCCGAATCTACAAAGTAATGTCTATTAAAAAAAATATTTTCTTAAAGATCATTTAAGTTTCAACCTTCTCAACTACTTTTTACTTCTTTATTTTACATATTCGAAATAATCTTAAGAAAGAAAAAAAAATGCTTATCGATCTTTAGTCATTATTATTTAAAAAACAAGTGCATTAAAAAGGTCAAATAAATTATTTTTCTGTAGTATAAATATACAGACATCAAGTTTTCTTAGAAGAGAAAAATATATTTATTAGTAAAGCTAAATATTTTATTATGTAATGATCTTTATATATTATTAAAAAATTAGTATAAATTTATAGTCGATCAATTTTGTATGACATGTCGTCTGACTGCTAATATATATATATATTTGTTTTTATTAAAGTTAATATTATGACAACTATTATCTTTGTTGTATTTTTTAATTATATATATATATAGCTTATATAAAATAAATATGCAACTAGTTATATATAACTTTTAGTTATCTATTTTAAGTATTTTGTTTAAAGGTTTTCTCTAACTGTTATATCTGTAATTTATTAGCAGGTTATCTATTTAAACACTTTGATTCTTATATTATATCAAACAAATAATTATTTAATTTTTATATAATTAAGTGCTATTTAACTTAATATTAAATTTTTTTTGTATATCTGTTAGGTTATTATATATTTTAAAGTATGTTAACTAACTATGAGATATTAAATACCTTTCTGTTAATTAATTTACTCATTTTACAGTCTTATTAACAAGACGATACTCTTGCAGAATTTATTCAGACCTTAGTATTAACTTTATAATATATTTTTAATAGTTTAATATAACTTTGTTTTATTACCAAAGTTTTAATTCAGATAATCTAATAGAACTATAACTTGTTTTTGATATATTGAATTTAGTTTAGTATATTTTTTTTGGCTTTATTTTAGTAGTCAGATTAGCAATACTTCTTATTTATAAATTCTTGTCTGTCTAACTTCTTTATATTAATATTTATTTTTTAAATTTAGTTTTATAATAATATTATTAAAGATTTGTTTATCTTTTTATTTAGGTTTTTCTAAGTAGACTTTTTGATTTTTTTAATTTTATAAATTTATATAATTATAAAAACTTATTTTGAATTTATACTATTTAATACTAGTTTGTATTACTTTGTAGAATTAAAATTACATAAATGTCTTATAACTTGCTAATTATACTGATACAATTATAATTATAGATATCTTATTTTAATTGTACTTACTAGCTAAATTTATATAAATTTCAAATCTTTAAAAAATAATTGCTAATTATAAAAAATTAAATTAAATAAATAATTCTAAAATTTTATCAATATATTTTTTATAATTATAAAAATATACTTGATTTATTTAAATAATAATTATTAATAAAATTTTTAAGTTATAAATTTGATTAGATTTTTTGAGTTTGTTTATTTTAAGTTTATTTAAAGTAAACAAATCTAAAAGGTCTAATAAAATTTATAATTTAAAAATTTTATAAATAATCATTGTTTAAATAAATTATGTATTTTTTTATAACTATAAAAAATATATTTATAAAATTTTAAAATTATTTATTTAATTTAATTTTTTATAATTAATAATTATTTTTTAAAGATTTAAGATTTGTTCAAATTTGACCAATATATATAATTCTATTTGATTAACAAAAAATAGTTATTATAATATAAGTAATTGTTTAAATTTTATTATTAATGAGGTTTTAAACTTACAACCAACCTGCAGGTCAATAGTGAAGTAGTTACACTCTCAGGTTACCAATTGCAAAGTTGCCAGTTCAAGTCTGATAGAAGACAAAAACTGAGTTAAGACTACAATTATTAATTAATCACATTTGATAGTGCATTATAAAAATAGGAAGATCTTTAATACTTAGATCCTTAAATGGTGACAAACCTGCTATAAGAAGGCTATGATGATTAGAAAGCTAAGAATAATAATAAAACAAAGAAATCTCTGATTAGAAATAATTCTGATAAAATTCTGGGTTAATAGAAACACAAAATCAATATATAGTTAGTATCATAAAAATGTATATAAAATAAATATATAGTTAGTACCATAAAAATATATATAAAATAAATATAAAATGTAAAATATAGGCAGGATTTTGATAAAAGATTTTGTGAACTTGAAAAATTCAAACTAATAAAATAGCTGCTAGCTGTGGTCTACTAATGACTATATAATAGAAAATTAAAAAAAAAAATTATAACCTGCCACTTGGAGGATTGATAACTTATTTACTTTACTAAGTCTTTACTTTTTTTTTTTTTTTTTTTTTGGAGTTAAGGTGAGGTCATGCCTCAGGTCTATTTATTTGAACATATTGTTACAGTTTGTACAACTTTTTACATTATACATTATCTATTACTATATGTCTAATTAAAAGATGAGACTCAGACTAATTTATCTGTGACCTAAACCTACCAGAGCTAATCTTGTATCCCACTTACACATAACCTGAATTTTTGTTTC